AGATGGGGCAGTCTGCTTCTGTAAGGATTTACAGCCTTGGAAAATCAATGGGGGTTGCTATGAGTGGGAATCAACTCTATGGCAATGAGGTTTTTTTTTTTTTTTTTCAGTTTAGTAGATACTCAAAACTCACTCCCGTCGAGTTGATCCTGACTCACAGCAACCCCTCCTTGGGTTTCCAAGGCAGTATCTCTAAGAAGTAGATTGCCCAATCTTCCTTCCACAGAGTGGCTGCTGGGTTTGAACTGCCAGTCTTCTGGTTAGCAATCAAATGCCTTAGGTACTATACCACCAGAGCTCCTTTAGTAGATAAGTAGCGTTATAAATTATAATTTGTCTCCTATTATGAGGAAACCATAGATTTCCATGGTGGGGGGAGGTGGGGAGGTGGGAATTGAGCACTGAGAAAAAAAGTCTCTATTTCATAAGCACTGATATAATTATCATGCATTTCTCCCACTGTATAGTTTTGGTTGCTTTGTATTGGTTGTGCTCACTTGCAGACAAAGATGAACTTCCAATAAAATTTTATTTACAAATAAAAAAAGTAAAGTTTGAGGAAAACTGAAGTCATAAAAGGACAGTTATTTAAATGCAAGAAAGATATAACATTGTATTGGGGGTTGGAAGATTTTTTTTTTTTTTTAAGTTTCCAGATTATTAATTTAGTTATGTGTTTTTATGTTGTGAGCAATGTCTTATATTCTTGCCAACAGTAAGTTAGTTCAAAGCATGTCAGTTAAATCACTTTTGGTATATTACCCCTAATAGTGTCATGCATACTTTGTGAAACATACAATTCCAGATTTAATTCTGCTAAAAATAATTAGATCATTGCAAAATATCAAATTAAAACTGCAAATGAGGACAAGGGAAAGGAAGACACCAATCGCTTTTTTAAAATAACAATGTTGTTGTTGTTAGTCACCATGGAATCAAGTCTGATTCATAGGGACACTCATGTGTAATAGAAGGAAACGTTCCCAGGTCGTGAACACTATCTTCATGATCTTTGATATATTTGAGGCTATTGTGTAATGCCTTCCAACTTAAGGGGTACATCTTCCAGAACTATATTGGACGATATTCTGTGTAATTCATAAAGTTTTTACTGACTAATTTTTGGAAACAGATTACCAGGCCTTTCTTCCTGGCCTGTCTTAGTCTGGAAACTGCTAAAACCTGTCCACCTTGGGTGACACTGCTGGTATTTGAACCTATGGTGGCATAAGTTCTAGCATCATAGCAACATGCAAGCCACCACAGGTCGACAAACTGATGGGTGGTGGTAAAGAACGGTATAAACACAAAAGGGCAAAGACAAAACACAGTAGGAATGATGAGCACTTTTTAACCAGTTAAATATAAATGATTGATTAATTTAAAAGCATACCGTCTGGTGAGGTTTACAACAAGGCAACTAACTGCTTTCGATCGTACCTTTGTAGTGCTGGTGTCCTCAACTTAATCTAATTTTACAGAGAAGTCCTTTTTTTCTGATTAGTACTTTTTCATTTTTCCAGAAAATCATGAAGAAAAACGGTGATGTTTGGTAAGATGGCTAAAGGTATTTAATGTTGTTGTTGTTATGTGCTGTCGAGTTGGACCTGACTCATAGCGCCCCCTCCTTGGGTGTCTGAGGCAGTATCACTACGGAAGTAGATTGCTTCATCTTCCTTCCGAGGAGTGGCTGGTGAATTTGAACCGCCAGCCTTCTGGTTAGCAGTCAAGTGCCTTAGGCACTACGCTACCCGAGCTCCCAAGGTATTTAATATATTATTATTATTATCATTACGTATGCCTATGGCTTTGTTGGGAGCTCTGGTAGCATAGTGGCTAAAGCACTTGAGTGCTAACCAGAAGGCTGGCGGTTCAAACCCACCAGCCACTCCTCGGAAGGAAGATGGGGCAATCTACTTCCGTAGTGATACTGCCTCGGAAACCCAAGGAGGGGTCGCTATGAGTCAGGTCTGACTCGACAGCACATAACAACAATAACAACATGGCTTTGTTGCAGGTTACCCCTCTAGACTCTCAATACTTCACTTGATCTTTGAGGACAGAGCTGCGGGCATCTGTCTTGGTGCCAAACACCCAATTCTCCTCACCTGTCCTCCGTCTGTGATTAGGGTGCTTTGAGGCACCCTGCGGACTGGGAGTGGAGCGAGGTGGGTCGGGGCTCGTACCCACGCTTTGGGCAGGAGGAGAAGCGACCCTGGCCAATCACTGTTCTCACCGGCAGGAGGAAGTGAACCCCAGGATAGCACTAGCTCTCACTTTCGGTGAAATTTTACTCCAACTACCTCCTTCTCGGCTTGGGAGGGGTCCCCTGCATCACGATTTTTCCTTTCCTAGAGCAGGAACCTCTGAGAAGACATTCACAGTCACCTTTGCGCGCTTCCTCGCCTCGCCTTATAGCACACCCCAGCGGTCTCGAGGCCTTCTAGCTTTGGCCAGTCGGATGCGGAATAGTTCGCCCGTCGCCGCCTCAGTTGCCTCAGGACCAGGGTACTGAAAAGTGTGCGAGAGCCAGTCTCGTCCCGACCCCGGAGAGGGAGTGGGACAGATGCACCCGGCACCGCCCTTCCCACCTGGGAGCAGTACCGAGCTGGAGGGGAGGGGCGGGGCAGAAGGCTGGCCCAGCGCAGGGGCAGCCTCTGCGAAAGCCGCCTGGGCCGGAGAGAGGCGAAGGGGGAGGGTCTCGAGGAAGTGTCTTGCTCTTCCAAGGGAGTGACCCCAGCTGGGGTGGAAAACCAGCTCCAGCGAGACGCGGAGTCGTGCAGCGCAGACCATGGAGCTGGGCGGCCCGGGCCCCGGGCGGCCGCAGCAGGAGTGGGACCAGGACTCGGTCGAAGCATGGCTGGACGATCACTGGGACTTTACCTTCTCATATTTTGTTAGGAAAGCAACCAGGTAAGAAGAGGACCCACGGAAGACCTAGCCGGAGCAAGGAGAGTGACCTGGGGCTGTCCTTTCTTCCCCCTTTTAATTTTCCCTTCCTTCACGATTAAGCAATCCTCGTTCCCAGGCCCTAAGCTTTTGAAGTAGGTCCTTGGTCCTGTTCTGGGTAGATACCTCGACTTTGAAGGGAGCACAGTAGAAAAACCGAAGCGTCGGATTCTATCCAACTTGCTCACAAAGTTTAAATACAAAAATGTGTGTGGCGACCTCTGCCCCCATTCCTCGCTACCCTGGTCTTCCCAGGGTGCATTTGATTTTTTATGTATTCTCGCTCACGGTCCTGCAGCCCCTCTCTTGCCTCTTGGTTCTCCTTAATCTCCTTAGCGAAACCAAAACAGTTTCGAGCCCCTTCCCTTTAGCTCCGGAAACACCATTTCCAACTCTGTTCCAGTGGCTCCGCTCCTCCCCTAATCCCCCTCGCTCCGGCCCAGTAGGGGCGGGAAAACTGGGAGTAGAGGAGAGACCACGAGGGAGCCCAAAGGCAACAACATGCCGGAACCTCTCCAAAGTGAGTGCAGTCGTCTTTTGCCCCTTCCAGTCCCCTTGTTGTCCCGCGCTCCTCCTTTCACTAAGGCTTTCGCAAAAGGCGGCGCCGCTGAAAGGAGGGGCCCAGTCGAGGGCTTCGTGGCTCGCACACAAAGGGCGCGGGGGAGGCGCGCCGGGGAGGGGACCCTCGGGAGCTGACGGGTCCCGCGCGGCCCCCACTGACCCCACAGGCCAGCTTTTCCTGGTCGGGAGCCAAGTTCTGGGGGGCTGCTTCCGAGCGCGGGGAGGAGGGAGCCTGCCCCTTTGGAGGCAGCTGCACAGTGGGCAGTCGGGGCGCGCGTGGGAAACACTCGCCAGAGAGTTGGGAGGAATTGAGACTGGAGCGGAGGGACTAGGAGGGAGGAGCATGGCGGGCGGGTCCCTCCGAAGCTTGAGGATTTAGTGCAAGGCCGGGGTGCGGGCAAGGCTCCTGAGCGCGGATTCAGGCTGACTTCCTGACGCACCCCTTTGGAAAAAGGGCTGAGCCCTGCCATCGCCACCAGCGCAGGGCAGTGGCCTTCGGGCTGCGGGTACTGGCCGTCGCGGCCAGGAGAGAGACCGACGCTGGGCGGTGATGGTGGAGGAGCCCGCCGGGGTTCGGCGCCGGGCTCCCACTCGCCGGCGCGCGGCC